AAAACCGCATATCGATATCTGTTACCGTTTCGGAGTTACAGGGTGTTTTTCAAAAATATGCATTTTTAACAAATCGCTGTAACTTTTTTGCTATGGAAAATTTTGTATTTTTATGAGAACATTTCCAGAGCACCTTTTTACGTAGAATTTAATGGTTTCAGTATAATTTTATTAAAATTAATAATTTAAGAATTATCAACAGAAAATTTGATTTTTTATATGGGACACCCTGTATATTTTTAACTTATCTAAAAGAATTTAAAATTACCTTTCCAAAAATATAACACACTTCATATTTTGCTCGATTTCTCTTCGAGATATAGAGTATATAAAAATTCGCTCGCTTTAAATAAGTAGGCTTTGAAGGGCACCGGCTGTAATGCAAAAAAAATTCTAGCTGTGAGCATCAATTAAAACGAAAATAATATTTGCTATGAGAGATGCAGAATTTTATAACAATTTAAAATATATTTACCCAATATCAACACCATTTAAACTATATCTAATAACAATAAAAATAGCAAACCAAGAAATGAGATTTTGCTACAGGTGTTCAACATATCAACCGTCTTCTGTTATGGACAGACGGGGCAGTTTTTGAACATTTCTCGCGGAATTCATTAACTCAGTGGGGGTGAAAGATACCCTCTCATAACTGCTAAGTCTTTCTAATTCTTGTCTAGATTATACGGAAGAATAAGGAACCTTTATTCTTCCGCAAATATATCTATAGGATTAGATCCATGGGTACTAAGTCAGACGGCCTCGACGGCCAACGGCTGGGATCTTGGTTAGCTATTCAATTGTTCTTGAAGGCTGCAAAAATTTGCTGATAACTTCATCGTTCAGAGACGGTGCGTCTTGCTGGAAAAATATGTTTTCGAGTTCCATAAGGGCATATCATCAATAAGGGGCCTACTAGTTAAAAGTGGCGAACTTTTAAAAATTCTGTATTTCGAAGGGGATTAGAACAAAATATCAAGTGTGCTATATTTTTGGAAAGGCAATTTTAAATTCTTTTCAGTTAATTAAAAATATAGAGGGTGTCCCAAATAAAAAATCAATTTTTCTGTTGATAACTCTTAAATTATTAATTTAAAAAAAATATACTTAAACCATTAAATTCTACGTAAAAAGGTGCTTTGGAAATGTTTTCATAGAAATACAAAATTTTTCATAGCAAAAAAGTTACAGCGATTTGTTAAAAATGCACATTTTTTAAAAACACCCCGTAACTCCGAAACGGTAGCAGATATTGATGTGCGGTTTTCACCATAATGTTTTTGATAAAAATTGAACTCCAGACACCGATATTAGTTTTCGTCTATCTCCTATAGAAAAGGGTGTTTCCATTTAAAAGCGTCGAATTTGACCCACCCCGTACAAGACAAATATGCTCAAGGTGGTTTGTCATTGCCTTCCTTGAGGTGGCGGCTCGTTGGTCGCTCTATTTAGATAAAGAAATATTTTTATTTAAATAAATAAAGCGACCGTACTGGCTGTGGATCGAACCCAGTACCGTCCGCTCCGCAGATCGACACTACCGCTGGAGCTACGGCCAGCCACTCAATTAATGCTTCCTCAAAATTAGCGTCCCAGTGAGGCACACTTTTTAGACTACCCACCATCCTAATATTGAAAATCCTGGCGTGGTGGTGCTACACAGACCCCAATGAAACTTTAGCCCCCGCTGGCGCTGGTAGGAACAATACTTGATAAAATCAAGTGCGCCTTTAACAATTGCATATTGGTACCCTAACTTAAAGTTAAAGCCTAATTCTTAAACGTGAACATTTTACAGAGGTTTAAATAGTGCTTGGGGTCCGCTAGACCCCACCAGGCCAGTTGAGGGTTAAGTTTTCTACAACATTCCAACAATCCATAAAAAAACACAGTTCTTAGAAAAGATCCAACTGATTGAATATAGTAAATACTAAATTACTACGAAAATGCAAATATACGAATGTTTTTGCCTCTTTATAGAAAACTGAAAGAAATTTTCTCTTTTCTCTGTTCAAAAGATCGCTAACTAACTTTCAACTTTAACTAACATTCATATTTTTTGTTCCATTGGTATTCTCTCAGGTCTATATCACTCATGGCTTTATTTATGCTTTCTTTTCTTATTTTGTTTGCTCATTTCCATTTTATGAGATTTGAAACACTGAAAAGTCTAAAGTTCTTGGTCTATTTTATCGAAGGTTCCTTGGTACCACACGAGCCTCCGAATCCCACTGTAACGGTACTTATTTCGTACAAAAGGCGTCATGTGGTGTTATTGTACCTTGTAAAAAATCACATGTCTGCTAACCCAACCCTACGCGGAAGAAAAAACCCTTTTTAGGGGCAGATGACGACGGAGGGTCGCAAAAGGGTTTCGATGGCACCTTTGCACCGGTTCGAATTCAGTTTTTTTGCGAAAGGTGTAATAGAAGATTTTTTCGATCGAAATGTGAGAAAGAAAGAGGATGTGGTGCTTTAATGCACATATGTCAGTTGGTCTGGAAGGATTTTGTTAATTAAATATGGTTGGTTGGGTGTTTATTCATTAATCATATGATTGAAGCTGATGGAAATTATTACAAAAATGGGTTTAACCATAAATAAGTTAACTATTATAATTTCATTTTGTCCCTCATTCAACTGATTGAATGCTTATTAATTAAGAAATTATAATTAATGGCGTTATATTTGTTCAGTAAAAATGCATTCAAAAATTATTATTTTTATTCTGTATAGTATTTTTTATTGGTGTGTTTAAGTGTGTTAAAGTGTATTAAAAAACATATTTTTTATTACCACTTATCAATTAGTGAATTTTCCTTGCAACAATCTACTCTACTTTTTCCATTTCACTGTTATACACCTATGTCCTAAATTATCGTGCCAACAACATACAACAGTCACATATAAAAAATTCTTGTGAAAATCTTGTAGCAAGCGTTGAGATCTGCAATTCTTTGGGTCGCCAAGGTCTCCTTTTTTCTGGAATTACTGTTGCTCTTTCTTCGACAGACCACTTGAGAATTAGCTGGCCCTCGTACAGCCAAGATTTTAGTATTCTGCTGAGATGTGCGTGGGTCTTAAGAAGTTTTTCCACCAGAAGTTGTTAATTCCGTCTATGCCAGGAGATGACTGAGTGCTTTTGAGGGACTTTTTAACCTCCTCCAGAGTGACTTATGGGCTCCCTATACTCCATTTGATATCAAGACAAAGTTCGGGGTCTTTCCCAAACCTTCCATCGAAGCGTGAAGGTATGAATATGGAAGTCAGTGGCGTAGCTACCAAGAGGCTAGGCGGGGCAGTGCCCCAGGACCTTCAAGCTCAGGTGGCCCTCGAATCCTTACCAGAAATCTCGATCGAACTGAACTTTTGGAAGTTTCTCTTTTTTTTCAAATCAATCTTTAATTAAAATATTATATTTATTGAGTGCTGCATCATCTATTGTGGTATAAAAATAGTAAAGAATAAAAACGAAACCTCAGCAAACACTAACACATGGTCAACATACGACGAAACCCTTCAAACCTCACAAAAAATAATCTGACAAAGGTCTAGGTAAAAGGGTTGCTTTAACATGACCTGGCACCCTGCACGCGTCCTGAATGAAAACCGATATGATACTTTTAACAGTAAAGTGGCAAAAAATGGCGACATATGGTCACTAGTCGGTAATAGGAAAAGGTAAAAAAGGTGTTATTAAAATGTATGCAGAATAACCGTCCTTTTGGAATGGTAAATATATGTGTTTTTTTTTGTTTTCTAGATGTACTAATAATAGGAAAAGATAAAAGTAGTGGATAATTATTGTTTAGTGAAATATCAATTTAGATTATGTTAGTTCTGTTTTCTAATTTTTAATTAGATAGGTCCACCATTAATAGAACTATTTGGCAATACCGATGTGTTAGATGATTTTTATGATTAGTGATGGGTATCAATGGTAAAACAAATTATCCATCAAATTTTTTTTAGCAAGTAATGTGAATTCATTGGTGTCATTATTACTATTTTATCAATGCAGCTATAGTGATCAACATACTAGATATATACAAACATTAAAAGGGGTTATTTTCATCCCGGCATTCAAAGCGTATATAGTTACAAATTGAATGTAGCTTTTTAATTAATAGAGTATTTATTTTAATACTATTAGCAACGACAAACAACACACTTTGTAGATCACGAGTACCTGTATAACTGTTATATTTCATATTCGGTGGGAAGGCAATTAAATAATAGTTATTTACAGTACAAGTGTGTTTATGAACATGATTACAACAACGAGTGTGAACGATTAGATTATTCGTTCTAATCACACGAGTGTTGTAATCATGTTTAAACGCACGTGTCATGTACAACGTTTTATCTAGAACCGAAAAATAAGAAAATGCTGTTTTAATTTTCGTCTATTAATCGCCCACATTTAACACCTTTAACTATGACATTTGTCACATTTTTTAATTATATTTTTTTTTCGGAAAAGTTAGTTTGACCTGTCAAGTAAACGTAAGCATTTTTGCCAAGAAAAATCATTTTAAAAATTAGAATTGTTTTGAAGAAGTTTAAAAAATGTGTTATTAATATTTATAATAATTAGTAGTAGGAATTTGTATCAATAATTAATATATTTAGATGTTCGTAGTTGTTTTTCATTATTAAAAAAACCAATTGTGTTATGAATCTCATAACGTAACTGAAATACTAAAAAAATAGTGATGTAAAAACGTTATAACTAAACGGTTGTAGATAAATATTATTAATATTATACAAATTAATATTATTGCAGTTATATAAGAAAAGATAATTATTTTAGAAAATACATACCTAAACTCGATATATCTTGTAAAATCAAGTGCCGCAGTGATTTATTTTTTGTTCCTCTTTTTATGTACAAACTATTTTTTTCTAATGCACGGTATTTTTTATCTTAAAAAAAGAAAGGGTTGGAGATAGACAGTTTTTGTTTAGGTTTTTAATAGCTTTTTTATTCTTTTCAGTTCAAAGAAGAGGCCTTAAATGCAGTTAATCCCCACCTGTTTACTATTGCTACGTTGACAGGTCATGCCTGTTTGACGGTAGGCGACGGTTACTCCATAGGTAAGAATAAAATAGTTTTTAAAAAAATTGCGGCTGGAAAATCCCTACATTTTCACAACAAGTAATTTTTTTACCAATCAAAACGTGTTTTTTTTTTGACAAATCGCCATGGCAACGGATAAATTTTGAAAGAAGTGAAAGTGAGAATTTTTTCCTTGTGGGCACCCAACAACGAATTATACTGGAAATTTTTTGACGTTTAATGACAGAATATCTTTTTATTCACCTTTTTTCCATTTAGCACTTTTTTTAAGTAGTTTAGATGCAAATGTTCGTGAACAATTCGAAACAAATTTTCTTTCTTCAAGTTGGAGCCACAATCCTCTATTAATGCGGGTAAATAAGTCATCGCACGATGATTGATTTTCTTCAGACAATTTCACGCATATTTTGCACATAGTATGATTTTCAAACCGATTCATTTTTAAAACAAAGAATTTTGTTGGTTTTTCAAGCTGCACAATATTCTTTATTACAACAAAACGCGCGTTTTTCTGATATTTTGAACTGTCAAAATACGATAATCACAGCCTTTTATGATTGACGCTTGCTAACGCTGCGCGCTTGTTATGAATTCTATACCAATAAAGCGTTTAAGTTAAAAAGTCAAGGATCAGAGAACTTAGGAATGTATGATTACTTTTATAGCGGCGTTCCAAAAGAAAAGAGAGCGGGCCAGGGAGTGGCTATTTTGATACATCGGAAATATAGAAAATACATTACAACCTGGGAAGGAATCAGCGAAAGAATTATTAAGATTAATATGAATATTCGAGGATATAGATTAACAATCATTGGAGTATACGCAGTAAATGATGATTCACCAACAGCTTCAAAAGATACATTCTTCCAACAGTTGAATGATGAGATTATAAAAACCGGAAAAACGAGAGAAATATTTTTGTTGGGGGACTTAAATAGCCGCACCGGAAAAAGTGATAATGATGTTACTATAGGAAAATATGGAGAAGAGACGCTCAATAACAATGGAGAAAGACTAATTGACATGTGCAAACAGAATAACTTAAGAATTCTCAATGGATTTTATCAACACCGTAACATACACAAATATACGTGGATACAAGGCACAAAAAAATTAAGATCTATCATAGATTACGTAATTACTAAACAAAAAACAAAACTACAGATTCAAGACGTAAGGGTATATAGAGGGGCGATATGCGGTAGCGACCACCACCTCCTAAAAGCGAAAATATTTCTACCATATAAACGAGAAAAAATAGAATATAAAGAAATAGAAAATGTAACGAAAGAAATTGAAGAGAGAAGGTACAACTTAACAGCGCTCGAGGACCCAGCGTGCAAATGTTATACAGAAAAAGATTAGAGGAAAAATTACAACAACAACCTTTCGAAACTCTGGAAAAACATTATTATTATATCAAGGAATGCATACACAAAGCAGCTTCTGAGGTCCTGGGTACAATCGACAATAATGAAAGGAAAAGGAAGCCTTACTGGTAGGACACGGATATACAGGATATTATAGAGGATAAAAGACGCAAATATACAAAATACTTGAGCACCAAGAAGATCGAAGACAAACTAATATATAAAAAAGCCCAAGCTAAAGTACGAAGAGAAATATGCCAGAAGAGAAATCTGATATGGGAAAAGAAGTGTACTCAACTAAACACATATATAGGAGGTAGAAGAAGCACAGAAAGTTGGAAATTTATAAAAAATGTCAGAAAGCGAAAAGGCAAAGAAATCATCTCCCCGATTACACCACAAAAATGGGAAGAATACATGGAAAATCTTATGACGGAAAATAGAGTCGAATTTATGGACTGCCTTGCCGTGACGACAAATATAAGAACAATGGGATCCCCGATTAGAATATCAATGGACGAAGTAATTAAGGCATGTACCTCACTAAAAAATCGTAAAGCACCCGGACCGGGAAATATACCGGCAGAGTTAATTAAATCAGGACCGAAAAAACTGTACGAACACTTAAGGAAAATATTCCAGGACTGCATAAACGGAACGGATGTACCACAAGAATGGAATGAGGTTTACCTATCAACCATATACAAAAAGGGAGATCGTACTAAGTGCGAAAACTACAGGGGAATATCAGTAACAGCCACCGTGAGTAGAATATATGGAAAAAAATTGAGAAATAGAATCGTAAACGAATACCAAGAAATAGAAGCTGAAGAACAAGCAGGATTTAGAGCCGGAAGATCGACGGTGGACCACTTATTTACAGTCACTCAAGTAATAAGTAAAAAGAGCAATCTAAACCATGAGCTACATCTTGTGTTCGTGGACCAGCAGAAGGCATACGACAGCGTTCCCCTTGCGAGACTTTGGGAAGCTATGGAAAAACCCAATATAAACGTGGAGCTAATAAAAGCAGTAAAATCATTATATAAACAATCAAAAACTAGAATAAAAGTCGGCAAAAAGTTAACAACAGGATTTAATGTAACCAAAGGTCTGAAACAAGGGTGCTGTATTTCACCAACACTGTTCAAGATATATCTCGAACAAGTTCTCAAAGGTTGGAAGCAAAAATGTAGAAACATGGGGATAACATGCTCTACACACTTTGCTTCGCGGACGATCAGGTGATCATAGCACAAGATTACGATGACATAAATTATATGACACGTAAGCTTATAGAAGAATATCAGAAATGGGAACTCGAGATCAATACTAACAAACAGAATATATGTGTATCGGAGGAGAACAACAAGATCTAATGCTAGAAGAAGGGAAGAAAATTTAGTGCTGCACAAAATACAAATATTTGGGTATGCAAATCACAAATGATGGACTGTTGGATACAGCAATTAAAGAACGAAACCAACTTGGAAGGAATACTATCACGGTATTGAATGGAATACTGTGGGACAGAAGCATAAACAACAAGAACAAAACTTTAATATACAATACCATCATAAAGAGTATAACCACGTTCAGCTGTGAAGTCTGGCCAATTAAGGAAACAACAAAACGAATGCTGGAAGCTACAGAGATGGATTTTTGGAGAAGATCAGCAGGCAAATCAAGACTCGAGCGAATAACTAATGAACGCATAAGAGAGATTATGGAAGTTAAACATACGATAGAGGACGACATAAAGAACAGTCAACTCATATGGTACGGGCATGTCCAAAGAATGGCAGAAATAAGAATCCCAAAGCAAATTATAAACTGGAAACCTGCAGGAAGAAGAAAACCGGGTAGACCGAGAAGAAGTTGGCAGGAAGGGATTGACACGTTTATGGAGGAAAGATCTCTCGGAGACGGTGCATGGAGAGACAGACAGGCATGGAGAGATGGCATCGGAAGACGTAGAACGTTTTAAACCGATTAATATATATATAAAGCGTTTATGAAAAGCTAATAAAAAAGCAATTTCCTACCACTTGTAGTTACTCAAAACTTATGTAAAATTAAAGAATATATTGTGTTGTGTCTTGAGATGATATTTCGTTACAACTACAACGAGTAGAAGTCAACAATTTAAAGATCTAAATTGCTGCTAAAACTGTGACGGGCTGTAAATCTGTTCATGAAAAACCTTTTAAATTATGATTTTCTACCACTTGTAGTAAGCCCAAGTAACTATAAAATGAAAGAATATAATATTTTAGGTCCTAAAATGACACTTTTGAGCTACTACAATCACTAGAAATCAACAGTTTATAGGCTAAGAATCCATTGGTGACAAGACAAACTGAATCTGTTGATGTATGTTTCTTGACCGAAGCGAAACATTTTTTTAAGTCGTACCGCTTGACAGCTTCAAAACTGAAATAGTTTTTAGGTTTGGGTGTCACCCATAGTATTCATGAAATCGAAAAAATTTCCGGAAATAATTCGACCTCTAGTGGTATTGCTAGTGAAAATTGTTTTATGTGTGCTTAGGGTGTTTTAAGCCCTCTAAACCTATTCCGTTTACCTTATACGACATACAAGCGCATTGTACTTAAATAAACTAATAACGGGAAAGTTTGTACATTGTTGCCGGATCTATTATAATCATTTAACAATTTAATGAAGATAAATAAAAGGCAATGTTAGTTTATAATCAAAATAATTTATAATAATATAAATAGGTAGTTAGGATGAGTCAGTAGTTACTACATGCTCAAATTAATGACATTCTTAATAAAAAATTATTAAAAATTATCCTTTAAATATAAATTTGGCAACACCGGTATGGAATACCATCTGTCAAGAGACTGTCTTCTACTTGAATTTGGATTAAAATGAAATACATCACATAAAAACTGTTATAAGAATCACCTAATCATGAAATATGTCACCTGTCAATTTAAATTAAAAACGTCACCTGTCAATTTAAATTTAAAAAATCGGTAAAAAAAAACTTTTAAGTTATACGGTTTTATCTTATGTGCACTGAAAACTAGAAAATAATAATAACAATTAGGTATTTTGAACTTCTAGTTCAGAAATATTTTAGTACTAGGCAGAATAGCTTTTAGGCATATTAGACTAAAATAAAAACGTGGGGCCCCTCTGAAATCCTACCTATGGCATAGCATATCTTTATACTTTGGTAGATCATGAGCTCGGCGTTCGCTGGTGAAGCCGCCACGGCTGGTTATTGATTGTCAAAATCTCCAGTTACGATTATAGTAAGTCGATGCAATCCACACTTAGTATAGAAGAAAGTATTACAGCAATAGTTAATGGCCCCACGTTTTTATTTTAGTCTAATATGCCTAAAAGTTATTCTGCCTAGTACTAAAATGTTTCTGAACTAGAAGTTCAAAATACCTAATTGTTCTTATTATTTTCTAGTTTTCAGTGCACATAAGATAAAACCGTTTAACTTAAAAGTTTTTTTACCGATTTTTTATTTTCTAGTTTTTACCATTTAACGGAAATGCCTACCGAATATTCCTCGTTCTATTTAATTCATTATTATATAAATTAATATATATAACAATTAATTATAACAATAAAATATAAATTATAATAATTAATTATATTTAAAA